GGCAACTTCGCGCAAACGAGGTGACATCACGCGAACGAGGTGGCATCACGCTGCTGTATAGCACACTGCAGTGTAGTGGTATCACGCAAACGAGGTGACACCACGCAAACGAGGTGGCACCACGCAAGCGAGGTGCCGCCACGCAAACGCTCGCAGAAAAGAACATCGCGCAAACGGGCCTCCCACGCTTGAGCACACTTCTCCTCCTGGTGTAGATCTGCTCTCGGGAGGGCGGAGGACAGCCCCGACGGAGTGGGACTGTGTACCGCGGTTGGCCGTTGTCGGAGGGACCTGCCGGTTCTTGGCTGCCCGTCGCTCCAACATCGCTGTCCGTTGAGGTCGGCGCTGCTGCTGCTGCTGTGGGCGGTTTCGGTGGGAAGGCGACCACCAGCGGTGGTGGCGCGCCTAGGAGCCCTGCCGCAGTGCGTTGCTGTGCAAGTCGAGTCATCGCTGGTTGAGCAGTGGTCCAAGTGGGATGCAGTCACGATCAGTGTTCTGGCACTGATGACATACTGCGTTTGCGGTTGCCCCTTGCGATACCATCTGATCATGCGATTGCGACAGCGGGCGTTGGCGTCCCCAGGGTCTGGCATCGTCTGGGCATTGCCGCATGGACTGTCATGTTGTCGGCCCGCTCGCTGTGTGTATACGGGATAGTGACCGCTCCCCCCACCCTCGCAGGATAGTGACCCCACTTCCCCCCTCACAGTACTGTCTGATCGCGCGATTTCGACAACGGGCGATGGCGTCCCCGGGGTCTAGCATCGTTTGGGTGTTGCCGCATGGGCTGCTGTCAAGGGAGGAAGAACCACCCAGACCAGACAATTGGCGTTTACCACGCGGCCCTGGGCGTCCACTAAGCAGCCCTGCCCTGTTTGATTCCTCCCCTGGGCGCGTTTACCAAACGGCTTCGCGCGTTGGGGTGGTTATTCTGCTTGCTACAGCGTAGGATTGCAGCGTCACTTGCGGCACGCCGCCGGCTGGGGGGGGGGGACCCTGGGCTTGCCGGTCTGCCCGCAGCGGTTGGTGGTGGCCGCAGGGGACACGGTCGGGGACTTTTGCTTAACGTGTCCCGTGAGGCGAGCGGCCAGTGCGAGCTGCCGAGGGAGAGGAGGAGAGGAGGAGGAGGGAGAGGAGGGAGCAGGAGGGGGCGGAGGAGGAGGAGGGGAACGATGAGGAGGAGGGGGATAAGGAGGAGAGGAGGAGCAGGCGGAGGAGAGGATGAAGCGGAAGATGAAGAGAGGAGGAGGAGGAGGAGGAGGAGGAGGAGGAGGAGGAGGAGGAGGAGGAGCAGGAGCAGGCGCAGGCGCAGGAGCAGGCGCAGGCGCAGGAGCAGGAAGAGGAGGAGGAGGAGGAGGAAGAGGAGGAGGATGAGGAGTAGGATGAGGAGGAGTTGGAGGAGGAGTTGGAGGAGGAGGAGAGGCCGAGTGCGAGTTGCCGAGGGGGAGGAGGGAGCAGGAAGACGGAGTTGGCAATGTCTGCGGTCGGGAACTCTTGGATGACGTGTCGTTCGGCCGGTCCTGGCCCAACACTCTTCGGCGCGACGCGATGTTCACTTTCCCGGTCCCCTGGCGTCAACGTCTCGAGCGTGTCCCAGCTTCCCGCCCCGCGGAGCCGAGGGACACGCGATCAGCTTGCAAGGGGTAGCGTGTCGCCCGGGCCGCCGCCGCGACACGCTGAGCAAGAGCTCCTGACCGTACACTGGGCACACCAGATAAGACCTTGGCCTGCCACTGGGTGTCCCGCGAGCAGATACTCCTCCCGATGGGCCTGCGGAGCCCTGGGTTACCATACGTTTCTCGGAGTCGACGAGAGATGCGCCCTTCGATCTCTTATCGTGTGTGTTTGCGTGCGCTGCACTCCGAATCCCTTATTAATCGACCCCCCCCTAAAAACCGGACCCCCCTCCAAATGCGACCTAATATTCCAGACCCCCCTCTTCGACGGAGCGCCTTCATAAATTGGACCCCCTAAGCTCCGACCCAAAGAAAGGCGCCCTAATAAACAGGAACCCCCAAGTTACAAAAAAGGCACCTGAAAAAACCGTACCCCCGGGGACGATGAGTAAGGGATTTGGAGTGTTTTCTGGAGCCCAGCTAGGTCGGTGCTGGTAGTGTGGCCGGCGTAGTAGGCCCCGTGTGCACAGGCGCGCGGGCACGGTCCAGCATGTCGAGGCATCGAGCGCGGTGTGGTCGGTGCTGCCCTGTGCTTGCAGAAGCGTGCGCCAGGAGGCGGCTGGCTCGCAGAGTGCCCGTCTGGTTGTCAACGCAGGTGTTGTTCATGTTGTCCTCATCCTGAGGCGCCGGGCGAGGTGGTGGAGGCGGTAGTGCTTCGTTGATGTCGTGGCGGCAAGGTGACCTGCACCGCGACATTCGGTCACAAGTGTCCTAGTAGCGGAAGTTCTTGTGGTTGGTCTGGTCGATCCGATATGTATTCCTCTTCATTCCTCTTCTACCTTCTTTTTCACACTCCTCCGCCCTCCTCATCCGCCTATTCCTCCGCCTCCTCGTCCTTCTCCTTGTCCTCCTCCCTCCTCCGCCTCCTCCGCCTCCTCCCTCTTCCTCTTCCTCCTCTTCCCTCGCTCACCCTCCTCCTCTCCCCTCCCTCCGCCCTCCTCCATCGCCCACCTGTCCACACGGCGCGGAGGTGCCGCGCGAGGTGCGCGCGTGCCCGGAGCGGACGCTGCTCAGCCTGAAGTGGAGCAGGAGCCCCGGTGGCCGGCACCGGCTCGCCGGCCCTATGGACCACAGGGGGCCCCGGGCCTCCGAGGCGCGCGGAGCAAAGGCACGACGACGGGTTCTCGGCGGCTCTCGGTGTCGATCGCGCGGCCGCGGGCCCCAGGATCGTCGCAGAGCGACCCAGCCCGAGGAGTGCGGCAGCAGGGTGGGGTGTGGGTGTGGGGCTCCAGTCGCGAGGCTGTGCGGAGCTGCATCTTCTCTGCAGCGGCAGCGTCAGGTCTCAGGGTCTGGGTGCCCCCGCCGGGCCACCCAGGATGAGAAGCCAGTCTTGACCTTCTCTCCCTCATCCTCCCTCCCTCCCTCTTCTCGCCATCGCCCTCGCCGCCCTCGCCGCCACCGCCGCCGTCGTCGTCGTCGTCGTCGTCGTCGTCGTCGTCGTCGTCGGTGCCGCCGCCGACACCGCCGCCGCCGCTGTCGTTGCCGTCGTCGCCGCCGTCGCCGTCGTTGTGGTGTTGCCCCCTTGAAAACACACGAGGGCGAGTCTGTGGCAGTTTTCCTCATCTCATTGCCCGCATGTCCACACGTGTTTCAAGTTCGGGGTTCGTGGCTATATCAGGTCGGCAGTTTTCGGCCTCTGGGTGCTCTCACCAGGCCTTGGGGGCGTCAAAAGACGACTCGGAATGAAAAGCTGGTCCCGGGGAGGTGGCCTGTGGCTGTTCCAGGGGCGAAATTGGTAACGGAATTGGTTCAGGGGTTTTCGGAAGTTTCCGTTGCCTCTTCGAGGTGTCCTCGCCTCGGAATGTTTGCCACCAGCTGCGCCTCGCCTAGTGCGTTCCGGGCCAGAGGCGCCCGGATCCGCTCAAAACGGCTGCGGCAGGTCCGAGTGATGCCCCGAAGCCCGACCCTCTGATGGAAAACGCGACTGCCGTTTCTCCCCCGACTCGGGCGCCCCGCGTACCCTTCTCGGGGGCAACGTTCGGCGGGAATGGGCTCCGGGGGACCGCATCGACCCCCAATCGCCCATTGATCGCCGATAGGGAGCCGATAGCCCAACCCGCCCAGGACCGTGCGGATTCGCTATCGGGGTCCTATCGCTTATCTATCGCACCCTCCCTGAGGCAGCCCTCCCCTAACGTTGCCACCCACTTCCGGCTCGCCCAGGAGTGGCGATCACGTCCTGCTGAACACCAGGCCTTTCGCCGCCAGCTCTCCGGCGGCAGCGGCCTCCCGCGCCGCCGCGGCGTCGTCGTCGTCGTCGTCGTGGACATGGTCGTGGTCGTGGTCGCCGTCGTCTTCGCCATCGTCTTCGTCTCCGCCGCAGCCGTCGCCGCCGCCGTTGCCCCCGTCGCCGCCGCCGCCGTCGCAGTCGTCGCCGTCGCCGCCGTCGACGTCCTCGCCGTCGCCGCCGTCGCCGCTGCCGCCGTCGCCGCCGTCGTCGTCGTTGCCCAGCCGTCGCCGCCGCAGGCCCTTCGTCGTCGGCCCCGGCGGCCGCGGCGGAGACGGCGACGCGCGGGCTGCCGCCGAGCCGCGGGGCTTGCAGCGGCCGCCGCCGGACCTGTCCACCTCGGTGGAGCTGCTGGCGCCCCCGGGCCGGGCCAGAAGCCGCAGGGGGTCAGTGACACGCAGAGGTCAAACGTGTGGAAACACCCAGATGGAGGCGTTTTTCGCCGTTTTCGGCCTCTGGAGGCCCTCGCTGGTCCCCAAGACCGTCAAGAAACGGTTCATGCAGGGTGACAGGCCTGAAAGCGCTGGAGAGTTTTAGGGTTTCTGGGCTTCAGGGCTTAAGGATTTAAGGGTTTAAGGGTCAAGGTGTTTGGGGGCATAATTAAGGCATTCGACGGGCTGAAAGGTTTGAGGGCTTCAGGGTTGGAGGGCTTACGAGCTTAAGGTTTTCATTGGTTGTTATAAGGTTTAATGCTTCGGGGGCTCACGGATTCATCATCATCACCAACACCATAGTCACCAACACCACCATCAGCATCATCATCACCATCATCATCATCATCGTCATCATCATCTGCTGGTCATCGTCATCATCATCATCATCATCATCATCATCATCATCATCATCATCATCATCATCATCATCATCATCATCACCGTCACCATCACCACCGCCATCAACATCCTCATCCCGCTCGTCCGTCGCAAGCACGCCGTCCTCTAAGACACATGTACGACGCCTCGAAGACGCCCGTACGGCGCCTCGAAGACGCCCGTACGGCGCTCTAAGACGCCCGTACGACGGCACTAAGACGCCCGTACGACGCCTGTAAGACGCCGTTGCGACGCCTCGAAAACGCCCGCACGACGTCGTCAAGACGCCCGTGCGACGCCGCTGAGACGCCTTTGGGACACCCGTTCGACGTTTCTAAGACGCCCTTACGACGCCTCAACGGCGCCCGTCCGACGCCTCACATGCGCCTACAACGCCCCCAAGACGACCGTACGACGCCTCGAAGATGCCCGTACGACGCCTCGAAGACGCCTGCACGACGCCCCGAAGACGCCCGTACGACGCTTCTAAGTCGCCCACGCGACGCCTGTAAGACGCCCGTATGACGCCGCTAAGACGCCTCTAGGACGCCCGTACGACGCCTCAAAGACGCCCGTACGATGCCTCTCCAAACGCCCGTGCGACGCTCTAAGACGCCCGTGCGACGCTTCCAAGACGCCCGTACGACTTTGTAAGACGCTCCTAAGACGCCCGTTCGACGCTCTAAGACGCCCGTACGACGCCTCGCAAACGCCCGTGCGACGCTGTTGAGACGACGCGGAGACGCCTGCACGACGCATGTGAGACGCCGTTCAGACGACCGCGCGACGACACACAGACGCCTTTAGGACGCCTCTAAGTCGCCCGCACGACGCGCCTAAGACGCCCACGCGACGCCTCGAAAACGCCCGTGCGACGCCTGTAAGACGCCCGCGGGACGCCGTTAAGATGTCGGCGAGACGCTTCTAGGACGCCCGCACGACGCCTCGAAGACGCCCGTACGACGCCTCTGCGGCGCCCGCACGACGCCTCCAAGACACCCGTACGACGCTTCGAAGACGCCCATACGACGCTCTCAGACGACCGCACGACGCCTCTCAGACGCCCGCACGACGCTCTAAAGCGCCAGAACAACGACTTTATGACGCCCTCACGACGCCCCGAAGACGCCCGTACGACGCTCTAAGACGCCAGCACGACGCCTTTATGAAGCCCGCACGACGCTTCGAAGACGCCCGTGCGACGCCTCTCAGACGCCCGCGCGACGCCTCGAAGACGCCCGCACGAGGCCTTTAAGACGCCTGCAGGGTTTCTCATAGAGGTAGGTTGGAATTTCTCTTCGGGTGGTTGGACCTAGTACCAACGTGGTTGCAATGTGTACCAAGGTGGTTGGAATTGGTTCCGGTTTGTTATAAGTGGTGGTATTTTCGTCTCCTGAGGGCCTCTTGGGGCGGAAGGCTCGAATTGTCGGTTCGTGTGCCCCTCTCTTGGGGTAGTCTTGGGGCCCTCTTGGTGCGCCTCTTGGAGCGTTTTGGTGCCCTGTTGGACCGTCTTGGGGCCCCTTGGGGGACCTCTTGGGGCGGTCTCGTGGGCCTGTGGGGCCACCGTGGAGCCACCGTGGAGCGTCGGAAACCCGAAAACGCGAGAACGCGAAAAGTATTGAACGAACACACTGAACATCGGCCCTCTTGGGGGTTCGCTTGGAGCGCTCTTGGGGCTTCTTTGGGGTCTCTTGGGCCGTCTTGGGGCCATCTAGAACGTTTGGGAGCGTTCTTGGGCTGTCTTTCAGAGGCCTCTTGGGCCCTCTTGGGCGATTTCTGAGGTCCTTTGGGCCCGTCTTGGGGCCCCCTGGCCTTTGGACAAGTCACGCGAGGCAGCCCAGGATCGCGCGGGAACGCCCAGGAAATCTGAGCTTTGGGGGCCCAGCCTTTGGCAACTGGAGGTAACTCCACTTCGTGCCTCGAGGCGTACACACATATATAGTATACATATGTACGTATGTATATATATAGAATTCCATACACACATGCATACCGGCATACATACATACACACATGCATGCATAACCGCACGCATTACATACATGCACATATACAGGCACACATACATACATGCATGCATGCATACATACATGCATACATACACCTATACGTGCATACTGACACACATGCATATACACATACACACCTACACCTATGTATAGATATCCAGTCGTGAATTTCTATGTGCACACGTACATACCTATGTACACACATACCCACATGCATACATGTACACACATACACACATACACACCTACACACATGCACGTATATACATGCATACATACATACATACATACATACATACACACACACACATACATACATACCTACATACATACATGCATGCATGCATGCATGCATGCATGCATACATACATACATCCATACATACATACACACGCATACGTGCATGCATGCATGCATGCACACATACATACATACATACATACATACATACATACATACATGCATACATACATGTTTACATGCATACACACAGATACATACACATACATACACACATACATACATACATGCATACACACATGCATACATTAATATATGCATGAACTCAGTCATACATTCATACACGCAGCTGTGATCCTTCACACGAGTAATGCATGACAATGACGCTATCCAAGTTTGTCCTGTCAGGTTTCCTCCAGATTGCCCCAGTGCGCACATTTGGCCGCCTAGAGGTGGGGGGCGAGACAACATGCGAACACCATCTGGTTTTTCATATTACTTCTCAGGGCTGCATGAGCCTTGGGGTACTCCGCTTCGTACCGAAGGCACGGCGGCTGATTTTCACTTGTTGAAGAACGAGAAGGGGAGATCGGAGAGCATCTTAGATCTCACGCTGAGGGCCAGGTTTGGGCCTGCATTCGTAATGTGTTTGGGGCACGCTTCGGTGCCCCATCGATCCTTCTGCACGATTCGATGGGAGGGGCTTCGAGCGATTTCGCTTGGCTTATTGTGTGCTTGGGCTGCCTCGCACCCCCCGTGCTCCGTGTCTTCGGTCGTGTCTCCCCCCTCCCGAGAAAGTCACCGTGGCAGTCCCCTTCTCAAGATTTGCACAGTTGGGGCTCCTGAGCACGCGGTGCTGTGACTGCTCCAGACGCTCCGTGCCCGCGCTCGTCCAGAAGTCCTCCATCGGACCTCTGCAACGCCCCAGCAGGTCAAAAAATAAACACAACTCCGATGTCGTGATTTTTCACGACGTGGACCCCTTAAGGTCTCGACCTTCCCCGGGACTGGCCGTTTATCCCGAGCACACAATTGTGGGATAGTCCCCGGGCCTGGGGAGGGCCCACAGAGGCCCGAGTGCGCAGAAACATGCCAGCAAGATTTTCATGGCGCGGGTATTTCTGGGAGCGGACAAACAGGAAGTTCGGATCTTATCCCTCCTCCTCCAGAGGCTTGCTGCATGATCCTCCTCCTCCTCCTCCTCGAGTTGCTTGCTCCTCGAGTGCGCGCTTGCTCGGGATAGCCATCGTTCAGCGCAGAGGTGCTCCTCTCTTCCGCCTCCTCTGGGGTCGTCTTGTCCTTGCCTTGCCTGCCCTTCCGTTGCTGGCCGGCGCCGGTCCTGCTTCCGAGGTGCTCGACTCGGTCACGCTGGAGTGCGTCGCGACCTTCAGCGGGCACTTCGCGTTCACGACCAAGGAGAGTCCCTTCAAGATCTTCCTGGACGACTGGTGGGACCTCGAGTTCCTCGCGAGCGGAGGGGAGGACTCGCGCGAGGAGGAGGAGGAGGAGGCGGAGGTTGAAGGAGGTTGAAGGAGGAGGAGGAGCTGTTTTGCTGTGGGCCACTTCTCAGGCACGCTTCAGCAGAGATTGACCAGCAGGGGAATGACACGTACATACATATAACACATACATACATACATAAATACATACATACATACATACATACATACACACAGACAAACAGACATACAGACATACAGACAGACAGGCATACATACATACATACACACATACACACATACAAGCATGCATACATACATGCATACATACATATACACACACATCCATACACACATACAAGCATACATACACACATGCATGCATGCATGCATGCATGCAATCATACATAAAGACAGACATACGTACATAGATACATACATATACCTGAATGCGTACATACACGCACTTTCATACATATATATATAGATATACACATATACACATACATACTTGCATATATGAATGTATGCATACATACATACGTACGTACGTACATCCATACATACATACATACATACGTACACACATACATACTTACATACATACATACATACATGCATGCATGCATGCATGCATGCATGCATACATGCACACACACATACATACATACATACATACATACATACACACATACATACATACATACCCACACACATACATTCATACGTACGTACGTACATACATACATACATACACACATACATACATACAAACATACATACATACATACATACAATCATACAATCATACAATCATTCATACATACATACATACATACATACATACATACCTCCATACATACATACATACATACATACATATACACATACATACATACATACATACATACATACATACATACATACATACATGCATACATACATGCATACATACATACATACATACATATATACATACACTACCATACAACCATACATGCATATACACAAGCAGACATGAATGCCTGCATGAACATATACACACCTACACGCATACATACATACACGCAAATAAATACATGCATGACGCCATCTATACATACACACAGACATACATCCATCCATGCATGCATGCAGACATGCATACATACATACCTACATGCATGCACACATACATACATGCATACACACATGCAGACATGCATGCATGCATGCATGCATACATACATACATCGCAAGGGACTTAAGTAGCCCAGAACTGACTGGGATAAACAACTCAGAGTAGACACCACTTCTGCTGAATCGCCAGGCCCTGCGCAATTGGCAGGAAAGCAACATTCGAATTCGCGCCAGCTGCCGTCAGCCGGGAGGCGACCTCTAAAGCCGGAGCCCATCAGCGACGGCTGCTCCTACAATTCCGAGAACACGGCTACGCCATCAGCGAAATGACCTAGCAAAGCGACGTCCGTGCCATCCAGCACTTTCACATCTTATGAAGAATTTCCAGACTGAACGCCCATGGCGAGGTCATCAGGAACGGCCTCGAAAAGGGAAGGAGTCGTGCAAGGAGGAGCGCCGGAAACCGGCAGCTGCTCCAAGACGGGCTCGATCACATGCGAATTAATTTTCTTTGTATTCTTCTTGCGCCGATTACTCTTCTTTGACTTCGCGGCAACGTCCGTAGCGCCTGCCGCCGCCGAGAGTAAAGAGGAAGACGAGGAACAATCACCACACTCGAGAGGGACACCGCCACTGTGGGTTGACGTGTCAGGGACCGCCATTGAGGGCAGACATGCCAGGGCCTATAGAACAGGCATCGCCACTCCGGATAGGCAGGTCAGAGGCCACAACTACGAGATGCGACTCCAAGGCACCGCCACCGTCGGCGGACCTGCCGGAGCCATCCTGAGAGACCTCGCCACTAAGGGCTGACATGCCGGGGGCTGCGCTTTCGCCACCAACTTCGGGACGTAGACGGTCGCCAATGTAGAAGGTCCTCACCTCCGAGGTGGCGTCCGTGGGATTATCGTTCCTGTCGGCGGGGTCGGGGGCGCCGGCGACTTACTCGGAGAATGCGACTGAGGAGGCCACCAGCCCATCGCTAAGGCGGCGACTTCACCCTGCCTGGCTCCTTACCCGTGGGCATATCCTCCGTCATACGCTGGAGAATGCGCTTGTAGTCGTGCAGCATATTCTTGCGACGTCTCTTCCTGGGCGTCGGTGGAGTAGAAGTGCTCGTAGTGGTCCCTGCGCCGCCGAAGACATCGCCGCGCCCTCCGCCGTGGCCAGGGGGGGCGAAACCGCCCCCTCCGTAGCCACCTGACTGGGGTACGAAAAGACATCCCCAGGCGGGGAGGGGGAAAGGGCGAGATCACTGGAACCTCCACCTGCGGCATCACCAGCTTGTCGGACTGCACCTTCGAAGCATGCTGCGCCTCCACTGCGAGGGGTAGGCGCTCCTGGCGCGGGAGCTGCTCAACTGGCGCCGGCGCGTCTTGCTCCACCTCCGCGGGCTGCCCGCAGCCATGTGCCGCGGGAGGCGGCGGCGGCGGCGGGTGGCAGAACCGGTGCTGCAAGTCCGCCATCGACAAGGAACAACGTCGAGTGAGCCGAGAGGCGCTGCCAAGGCTGCAACGCGCGCCCCGAGGTCGCCGTTGACGAGGTGCGCCAGAACGTGCAGGCGCAGCTCGGGGCGCTTTGATACCATGCACCGGTATCCCCCAGCGTTCACTGCCGCACACCCGGCGGAAGCGCTCAAGCCAGCAGCACATGGCCATGAGCCCCAGGGGGGCGCGGGCCGTCAAGGATCCTGAAAAAGGCTCGAACCCGAGCTTGAGGTCAGGAGGAAGAGGAGGAGGAGGAGGAAGAGGAGGAGGAGAAGGAGAAGGAGGAGCAGGGGGAGGAAGAGGGGGAGGAGGAGGAGGAGGAGGAGGAGGAGGAGGAGGAGGAGATAAGATAAGATAAGACCCTGGGGCGCCGATCCCTCCCTGCACTGCTATGCAAGCCCTCGCTCACAACCATACATACAGCACACAAAAAAGAGGCGCCTGGGTTCGCCATGTTGGCGGACTGGAACATGTAGCCACCGCGCGGCCCCACGAACACTTAAGGAGTGGGGACTGGCCCGATGGCGGACCCGACGGCACGCAGCCTGCGGCTGCCATCATAGGCGCTAACCTCGGGCACCTCTGCCTGAAGTCGCGCCTCGCTCAGATCCTGAACCCCTGCCCCGACGGTTTCGAGATCGGGGGGGAGTTGAATTGCTGGTCCTACTTCTGGGGCTGTAGGGAAATAGACAGGAGCGGGATTCAAAGAGAGGCCAGGAGGCGGAGGGATAGAGGAAGGGGAAATCATGCTAGGAGCCCTACTTTCAGTCAAACCTGAAACTCTCCTGCTAGCCTCCTCGTTCAAAAGGCCCGCCCTCAAAAGTTGCTGAGCTCTCTCACTAGAAGACGCTGCGCCTCCCTCACCAGGACCCCTCTGGGAGCCGCCCCCACAGTTTTCTCGCCTCCCTCCACCTTGAGACAGTGACGGATCGCCGAGAGCAGCTGGCTGCCGCGCTCGCTGGTGTCCAGCAGGAACTGGACCTTGGCCATTTCCTTGTCGTCCTTGCCCTTTGTCTTGAGGCGCTTGGCCTTGCAGAACCGAACCACCTCGCTCAGCACGATGGGGTCCTCCGCTGGCATCACCACTGATTCCCAGTACTGCGCCGCCGCCACCTGCTCCTTGGGCAGAGACCCCGCCTCCTCCTCGTGGGCGACTCCCTTGATCAGCGCTGCGAACGCCCTCAAGTGGGGTGCATGCATCTTCTCCTTCACGAACTCCTTGCCCTCCTTCTCCGCTGCCTTCTGCAACTCTCGCTGCTGTTGAGCCTCCGCGTTGAAGCTCTGACCCTCCTCGAGCATGAATTGTACTGTGCGACTGTCGAGCGGCAGCAGCCACGTGTCGTACACCGCGCCGATGAGCGCTCTCAGCTCCGCCTCGTCGTTTAGCACCAACTTTGCCAAAACAATGACGAGCTCGTCCAAACTCTGCTTCTTGCCGCCACGCTGCACCACCTGTCGAGCTTCTTGCGCGCCGCCTCCAGGAGGGCCCACGATGCGACGTACCTTGCCGTCCTTCTCCTCCGTACTGCGTGCCATCCACTTGGGCGTCACGGCGGTGTTCGGCATGGCGAGCCAAGCCAGGTAGAACAGACCGAGATGCGGCACGACCGCTCGACTGCTGGACTCTGGAACGTGTACAATCTACGATATCAAGAACCCGAGGGAGATGACTACGGATATGTTGCTGAACATCGTCTGTGTCCGATGCGTGGTATTCGCAGAGGGGGCAAGCCAAATCTATGATAGGTAATCGAGCAGCCTGTGACCTACCACCCCCAGCCAGACAGTATCCCCTGTTCATGGAGCCCACGAGGTGCCTGCTAGCCGTAATAACCCCCGAGAAGATCGCAAAACAATTCGGGCATTCGTTAGTGCGGCATAAGACGTGACGCAAAGACCGATAATGATGATGAACTCGTAAGTGGTTCAGGGCAGACTTCTTGTCAGGGAACTTCGCATCGCATCGAACTCGTCGACCTACTGTATCACCAGGATCACATATGTGTTCATAAACCCACACACCAACTTAACTGCCCCGCCCTGGACGACCTCGGTAGATAGCATAGTACTTAGTTGCGGATCATACCCAGGAGGAGGAATCGCGACCGTGTGACGACGACGTCGTAATAGAGAGAGAGAGAGAAATCAATCTTACAAAACGTTTTTCCGAGCTCCTGGTCCCACCAAAGTGCAAGAAACGAGCCTTGAAGAAGCTCGAGCAAGTCACGACCGTCCTCGATATCCTCTAGTGCATGTACATCTTCACAGAACTGTCTCGCCCAGGGATTGGCGTAGGCGGTGAGACGACCCATGGTGTCATACTGTGGACGAGCGTCCACTTCAAGTTCAGCAAAAAGTGCTGTAAGAATCTGAGCGTGTCGCGCAGGATAACGCACAAACTGCACAAGCCACCCCAAGCGGCGGACCCGAAGTTCAAGGAAAGCTGGCGTAACACGCCAATGATTGAGCACCTGCTCGTTGCTGAGACTCTGAACATGTGCGGTGCGCGGAGGAGGAGGAGGAGGCGGCGGAGGAGGAGGCAGAGGAGGTGGAGAGAAATGAGGAGGAGGAGGAGGAGGAGGAGAAGGAGGCTCCTCATCCTCGGCTTCCTCCTCTCCGTCTCCCCTCCCCCTCCTCCTCATTATCTCAAGGCGTGCCGCATGTCCGTCCGACTACGCTCTGTGATCGGGGTCAGGCGCACTCCCTTCCTGCCCACACCAGGAACGACCGCTCGTGTGAAGGATCGAGGTGCGAGGATCGATGGGTCAAGCAAAAAGGATACTTCGCCTGGAGACTCCTCCATTTGCCTCCAGATGCCTCCTGGTGGCCCTCTGACGACATCTGGAGCCATCCACAGATTTTTGGAGATGTCTAGAACATGTCGGCGCGGGGGTCCTCAGAGTTTTTGAGAACGGCTTTGCAGCTCGATGTCCTGTCGCGGGCCCAGAGATCCGATGTCCGTGTTTTGATGTGTGCAATACCGGTTCCACGGAAGTCCCGACCCTCTTCCGGGCCAGCTTTCCATCCAGAGTCGTACCTGAACAGTCCCGGGGCCTTGTGAGCGCCCCCAGACACCGATAACGGCAAACGTTTCTGCAATGTTCTCTCCAGTGCGTTGGACATTTGGAGATGTCTTGTAGCGAGCATTTCGGAGACGATCCCAGGACGAGAGGATCCACATCTGGCACCGCAGGCACGGGCGCCTGGTGCGGCGGCTCCACGGGCACACCGCGCCCGTCAACTGTGTGAGCTGGGGCGCCCAAGGTCGAGGGGCATCTTCCCCTGTGGGCGTGCGGTGGTGCGTAGGGTCCGGCCTTCCCCCCCACCCATCAGGGAGGAGGAGGAGGAGGAGGAGGAGGAGAAAGAGGAGGAGGACGACGACGACATCAGCGTCGGCATCGGCATCGGCATCGGCATATGCATCGCCGTCCTAGACATGACGTCGTCGTCGTCATCGTAGTCGTAGTCATAGTCGTAGTCGTAGTCGGAGTCGTCTTCGTCGCCCCCCCATCTCATCTGGGGGGTGGGCGGGGCCCGAGAGACCCTGAGACCCATCCCATCTGGGGGGGGGGCCGTGGGCCAGGTGGGATCATGTACATGTGTATCGATGTGTATATATACATATATAAGTGCATACATATATATATATATATATATATATATATGCATTTAGAAATAAAATCTCGGAGTAGGCCGGGGGGCGGGCCCGGACCAGCGCCAAGGGTTGGCATTGGGGCCTGGGGGTCCTAAGGGCTCCCGGGCGCGGCCCCTAGGGCTCACGGTTCGTCGTTGTCGTCGTCGTCGTTGTGCGGCGGGTGCCGTGGAGAAACACTTGTTCTTCATTATTGGTGGGACTGCAGTCCGTCAACAATGCCGCCGACAAGATAGTTAGTTTCCAACTTTTTAGGGGGGTGTTATAAAGGCCAATCGCGGTCACGTGCGTAGCGGGCCGAAGCACTCATCATCCGAGAACCACCATACTTGGCATGCCGTCGTCGACGTTTTGGGGCAGCGCGCCCCGATTTCGGCCAGACCCGGGGCCTCGAGGGGCCCCCCCTGTTTCCGAGCGCCACCTGCGTCGATCCTCGCGTTCGGTTCCCCGCCGCCGCCCGTCCGATCGCCCCTCCGAACCCGCACGCGCGTATACCAACAGACATATGGATCGATGTGCCTTATAGAACACCCAGGGAAGGTCTACCCCTAGGGCCTACCCCTAGGCCCACCCTAGGCCTGCCCTAGGGCTTGCAGTAGGCCCTGCCCTTGGGAAGCCTAGGGCTTTCAGTAGGGCCTGTCCTAGGCAAGCCTAGGGTAAGTAGTAGGGCCTAGGGTAGCCTAGGCCCCCAGTGTTCTATATCCTTTATAGAGTACAGTTACATACTATTCAAGTCTGTTCGTGTGTACACATATGTACCTACACACATATACAGATATAGACCCAGTCGAGCATCTGATCAAAGAGCCGCCTCCCGATAAGCTGGGCCAACATTTCTGAGCTGGCTCGCCCGAAAATTGGCCCAGTTTCTTGCGCACGATCGCCACTTCAGCGTGAACGGCAGAAATTTGCCCAAGCTTGTTTAAAGACACCTCCTTGAAATCGACGCAGATCTATCAAACGATAGTATGGTTTATCCTACTGGTGCGATTATATATTGATACGGTATACCTACCTACCTACCTACCTACCTACCTACATGCATGCATATATACATACATACATACATACATACAGACAGACAGACATGCATACATACAACCATGCATACATACGCACATACATACATACATACATACATACATACATGCATGCATGCATGCATACATACATACACATATACATACATGCATATGTACATACACACATACATACATACACACATGCATGCATACATACATACATACACCCATACATACGTACATACATTCATACACACATACAACCACATATACATACATGCATGCATATACATACACACATACACACAAACATACATGCATGCATGCATACATACATACATACATACATACATACACACATGCATACAGACACACATGCATATGTCTGCACATACATCCATACATACATACATGCATGCATGTATGCATACACACATACATGCATATATACCTACATGCATGCATGCATACATACACACACATACATACATACAAACACACATGCATGCACACATGCATATACACATGCATGCATGCATGCATGCATACGCACGTACGCACGTACATACGTTCATACATCCATGCATGCATGCATGCATGAATGTACACACCATACATACATACACACATACACACATACACACATACATACATACATACATGCACACACATACATACATACATACATACATACATACATACATACATACATACATACATACATACATACATGCATGCACACATACATACATACATACATACATACATACATACATACATACATACATACATACACATACATACACATACATACAGACAGACATACATACATACATACACACAGACAGACAGACAGACAGACAGACATAAATACATACACATACATACATACATACGTACATACATACGTACATACATACATACATACAGTCAGCACACATACATACATACATACATACATACATACATGCATGCATGCATACATACATACGTACGTATGTACATACATACGTTCATGCATACATGCGTACATACATACATACATACATACATGCATGCATATGCTTAGCAAGTGGTTACAATCGTACAACCAGTTGCCGCACGCCAGCAATCTGTCCGCCAGAGCTCGAGGCGGGACCGGCCTGGCCCGATCGCGGGCGACCCCAGAGGACACACGATAGCCTCAAGAGTCCCCCCGATAGACCGAGAAGGCCCGCAGAGATCCCGAAGAGCCCCCCAAAGGTTCAAGACAGTCCAGTCCAAAGGCCCCTCCTCCCCTTCCTCCTCCTCCTCCTCCTCCTCTTCCTCCTCCTCCTCCTCCTCGTCCTCCTCCTCCTCGCACCAAGATGACCGCAAGACGGCCCATCTGGCTCCCGACAGGTGGGGGGGCCGACTCCGTAGCCATTTTGGCTCCAGGGCGCTCCGCGTCCCCACTGCCTCTCGGGCTGGGCCGGCGCCGGAGGGGGAGCGGGGGCGCCAGAGGGCCCTCGGCCCCCCCTCCTTCGGCCGCGCGCCTCCCGGGCCCCGTGCGGGGCCTCCCGAACAGGGGGCACCTGGCAGGTGACCATTCGAGGGTGTCTAGTGGTCACCATGGTTCAGTTGCCAAGACCCGGGACGCTCAGGCACGAGCCCTGGGCTTCCCGAGTGTTGGGCACGGAGGAGGAGGGGGAGGAGGGGGAGGAGGGGGAGGAGAAGGAGGAGGAGGAGGAGGAGGAGGAGGAGGGGGAGGAGGAGGAGGAGGAGGGAGGAGGAGGGGAGGAGGAGGGGGAGGAGGAGGGAGGAGGGGAGAGGGGGAGGAGAGAGGAGGAGGAGGAGGAGGAGGAGGAGGAGGAGGAGGAGGAGGAGGAGGAGGAGGAGGAGGAGGAGGAGGAGGAGAGGACCATGCAATGGTGGCCAGTGTTCACCCGCTTGGTTCCCCAAGCTCGGGAGGCCCAGGCCCGAGCCGGGTGACTGCGGGCCGGGCGCCGAGGGTGCGCGCTCTGCAGCCCGGGGGAGGGCGCCGCTGCCGCACGCCACGAGCACGGGGCCTTGGCTGGGCCGCTCCTGGGACTGTGCACCGACGCCGTTGTACAGCCCCCTCGGGTAGGAGTGTGTTTCTTCATTGTTTGGGGCGTACTGGGCATTATAGCCCCTGGCCCCCCTTCGCCCCCCCCTTTTCCGTAACGCCTCTCCCCCCCCCAGCGCGCTCCGGGCACTGCCGCCGTGCGCACGGCGGTGGGGAGGCGTCACATTATACCCCCCCTGGCCCCTCCCCCATATAATACCCATTATCGCCGCAAAGGAAGAAATGCGCTCCGGGTAAGACGAAGCCAGGACGAGGTCAGCATCAGGCGAGGATGCACGGAGAATCTCTGAGATCCGGCGGCTTTGGAGGATGTAGTGGGCGCCGCGGCCTTCTCGGAGCGTTCCGAAGCGCTCCGAGAGCATTCCAGAACGCTCGTGAACGGATTCATCGTAAGTCGGGTTTGTCCTTCCACAAGGGGAATATTCAAAAATAGTCAGAAAATATTTTGGGGACCAAATTTTAAGAAGTATGTTTTTACATGTTCGAGCATTTGTTGGGTGTTTTCTAATTTTTCGCCCAAAAGCCGCCTGTAGGGGGACATGCCCGATCTAAGATTCATCCTCGTCCTAACCCCACCTGGTCTGGCCTCACTGGGGGGGAGGCGTACCCTGAGATCCGGACGTTGCAGTTTTTGTCGCTGGGCGTGTTCGCCCGTTTTCGGGCCCCGAGGCCATCTCGGAGCGGTGCGCCTCGAAAAACAGCACGAGCAGGTGAAATCTAAGGCTCTGGTCGTAATTTCTCGCGAGGTTACATCTTTTTGCGACGTCGGATCTAGTAGATATCGGTGGGAAAAAACACACACAGTGTGTATTTTCTCCCACAGTGTTTTTTTTTTGTTTCCCACAGTGTGTTTTTTCCCCACAGGGTATGAGTACCGTTGATCGGGCGTGGCCAGAACTCGCTTTGGCAGAACGCCCTCTGGTGAGAGCTTCCACGGGCACTCCACGTGCGCACGGCATCGCATTCGGAGTGCGCCCGGCGGGACAGCTCATCTGCGTCCAAAGAAGCCGAGTGTATCCAGCGAGACGCACGTGGATTAGCGAAACCGACTCGGGATTGGCACCAGTACACTCGAATGTGCACCAGTGCAAAATTTCTTCAGTCGCCTTGTCTGGGTGGGCGTTCTCCTTATGCCCGATTTTAACCGATCCCTCACTGGCGTGGCCTTGGCCCCACTGGCCGCCTTGCCCTCCCTGTGACCCATGATGTGTCTCTGGGCTCCTGTCCCGCGGGCCCGCCCCCCTCGGGTGGGACGGGTCCCAGGGCCCCGCGCCCCCCCCAAGATGGTATGCGACGACGACGACGACGACGACGACGACGACGACGACGATGACGACCACGACGATGACGACGACGACGACGACGACGACGACGACGACGACGACGACGAGGACGACGGCGACGACGACGACGACGACGACGACGACGACGACCCGCAGGGCCCCCCCCCAAACAGACAGGGGCGTGCCGATCGGCTGATCGCACTAAGGCAGGGGCCCGGGCCCGGTGCCACATGTCCCTGTGCCATTTGGGCTTCGCGGGGCCTACCCAGGCGGGCGGGCTGGTGGGGCTGAGATACAATGGCCTCCTCCTCCTCCTCCTCCTCCTCCTCCTCCTCCTCCTCCTCCTCCTCCTCCTCCTCCTCCTCCTCCTCCTCCCTCCTCCTCCTCCTCCTCCTCCTCCTCCTCCTCCTCCTCCTCCTCCTCGGGTGGGGGGACGCGCTGAGCAATTCGATTTCAAATCTTTTATCGGTCAAACGCCCTCGTGACAAGTGACAGTAGAAGTGGACCACACCTCCCTGCTGCTGCTGTGCTGCGCGCTCTGGCTGGCTCCCTCCTCTCGCCTTCCCTCTCGCTTTCGCTGGGGCTCCTCCGCTGTGCTGCCTGCGTTGTGGCTCTTGTCTCGCTGGCTTCTCCCCTTTCCCCTCGTGCTGCGGGGGGTCGTGGTCGGCAGGTTTGGGTTTCGAAACCCAGGGATCCGATGGGCGGGCCGGAGGCCCAAAATCTGGGCCGTAGGTCGTTCCTAGGGTGGCTTCAGATCAGCTCGAGTTAGTAGTAGTAGCTAGTCCTCCTCCTCCTCCTCGACGCCGAGCGCACGACGATGCCGGTGCACGGGACTTCCCAGCGAGGCCCCCTAAGCCAGGGAGGCCAGTTCGCGCCGCTCCCCGAGATCCGACGTTGCGAAAAATGCTGCACTGCGGAACATCGCCACCAGAGCTTCAAGCCCCATCCCTCTGCAGTATTCTAGGCCTCCTGGTGGGATAGGAGTAAAGAGGGGGTCGGAGGATCGCGCCGCATCGCCGATGCGTCGGCGATGCATCGACGATACGGCTCGATGCGGAGCCCGATTTTCTCCACGCCGCCGTCGCCGGTGCGTCGGCGACGTCGGCGATGCATCGGCGATGCATCCGCGATGCGTCGGCGATGCGGCGCCGATCCTCCGACCCCATCTACTCCGACCCCATCCAGGAGGCATGTAAGTCTGCTTCGAGCCAGATCTCCATGGGAGGGCCCCAGGGCCCGAAATCGGACGGAAGCGCCCAGTGTGGAAGGAATGTGCTGTGGAGAAGTCCTGCCGTCGGGTGTCCGTCGGGGGTGGACAGAACCCCCACCTTGACACGTCGATTAGTGAATTGTCCGTCTTCAGTTCTCGAGAGGGCGCCGCGGCCGTCATTTTCCAGGCTTGCGCCCGCCAGGTTCGGGCCCGAGGTCGTTTTCGCTAAACCACGTTTTACTCAAGGGAGCTAGTGTCCATCCCCGAGAGCAGTGTTTGGACCACCCGTGCGCCCGAATCCAGCCTCTGGTACCCGAAGGTGCAGAAAGCCTGAGGCCAGATATTTTCAAGTCCCTCGACCTGCACCTTTCGCCCCCTCCGCGCGGCGGGTGCCGCGCTGCCGCGGCCGCCGCCGCGGCCGCCGCCGCGGCCGCAAGCGGCTGCCACCGTCGAGGCCGCGGCGGCGGCCGCCGCGGTCGTGTCGCGGCGGCCCCATCCGCGCGGCAGGTGCGGAGGGTGCAGGTTGAGGGGTCCTGGGAGGTCTGGGATTGAAGAAGTCACACCGCCGGAGCTCAGGGGCTTCAGTCGGGCCTGTCCCTCTACAGAGGGGATATTCGAAAATACTAAGAAAATCGTCCGGGGACGATTTTGGGGGTATGTTTTGACCATTCTGAGGCACTTGTTCTGTATATTTCAGTGTTTGTCCAACATCCGCCTGTAGGGGGACATGCCCGACCTAACTCTGGGCATCGGCGTCGGTGCCGGTGCGCGGCTGTGGCGAGCCCAGGGCAGCCGCAGGCAGCGACGGCGCGGGCCTGCTCCACGCAGCGGCGGCCGGCCGCGGCGCGGGCCTTGGGGGCCACCGCCAAGGGGGGCCCCGGCTTCGGATCCGCCGTGCCCTGGGTGGTTTCTCCCGCGGGGCGGAAAGGCCCGACCTGCTCTCGAAACTCGTTTGATGGCGATCTCCGCCCTGCTTTGTCGCCGCCGCTTCCACCAGACCTTTGCGGAAACACCCGCCCTGCTCTGTCTGAGGGGGAAGTGTCCGCCCGACTGTTTCGCACCGCTTGGGGTGAATTTCGGAGAATCACCAAAGCACGGCGGATCCGGAGTCAGGGCGGGGTCACTACCTTGGGGTTCGCCACTTCCCCAGACATGCCCCCAGCCAAACCCCATCGGGTCATGAACGAATCAGGACGGGATGTGTTTTCATGTTCTCTTCGGCCTCTCGGGGCCCGTGCCAGCCCTCGGGACCGTCAAGACATCACTTGGGACAGAAAACGGGTCCCGGGGAATGGGTCCAGACCGCCAGGGGTCCGCGCCGTGACAGAGGCACGACGCCGACGGCCCGGGAACGCACCTCGCACGAACCGCGAAACGGAGGTCTCTCGCGTGGCCCTCGGCCGCGGGGGGCCTCGCCGGGCTCCGGGGCCGTCCGCGGGAACGGCTCGAGGTGGGCAGCCCTCCTCCCCGTGGACGGGGGCGGGCCTTCCGGGGGGAGGGGGGGGGGCGTGCAGGCCTGGTTTCGCCTGCCCCCCCCGTCCCCCTCCTTCCTCCTTCCTTCTTCCTCCCGCGTCCCCCTCCTTCCTCCTTCCTCCTTCCTCCCGCCTCCTTCCTCTCGCCTCCTTCCTCCTTCCTCCCTTCCTCCCCGCGGGTGCTTTCGCTTTTGCCCCCCCCCCCCCCCCTCCTGCCGCTGGCTAGTTGGCGTGTCTGGGGGTGGGGGCCGTGCATGTCCAAGGGAGGCGATGCGCCTCGCCATGTGAGTGCGTGCCCGCCCGTGTCCTCCTTTCCTCCCCGCGGGTGCTTTCGCTTTTGCCTCCCCCCCCTCCTGCCGCCGGATAGTTTGCGTGTCCGTGTCCTGGACCGCCTGGGCGCGCGTGCGGACCGCCTGGCCTGCCGCGCTGCGGCGCAGCAAGGCCTGGGGAGGTCGACGCTTCCTCGAAGAGGCGCCCCGTCCTCGAGGCGAGCGGGCCCCCCGTGGACGCTCCAGAGCCACCCGAGGACGTCCCCAGACGTCCAGAGACTTCCTCGGGGGCCCGGACGTCTGATGTCTCGACGATGTCCATGCGCTCCAGGCCTCCTAGATGGGCTCGGAGTGGGTGGGGTCGGAGGATCGCGCCGCATCGCCGATGCATCGCCGATGCGGCTCGGTACGGAGCCCGATTTTCTTCACGCGGACGTCGCCGATGCGCCGCTGACGTCGACGATGCATCGCTGGTGCATCGCCGATGCATCCCCGATGCATCACCGATGCATCGCCGATGTGTGTCGGCGATGCGGCGCGATCCTCCGACCCCATCTGGGAGGCCTCTCTGCGCGGCCCCGTGCTCGAGGCAGGCGGGCCTCCCCTGAACACTCCGGAGCCCCGAGGACGCCCCCAGATGTCCAGAGGCCTCCCCGGGCTCCACTCCCGGGGCCCCAGACACCCGACGTCTCGACGCTTCCCCTGCGCGGCCCCACCCTCGAGGGAAGCGTGCGCGCCCGAGGCGAGGCGCCGCCAGCCCTCTGCGCCCGCATGGTGGCCAAGGCGGTCAGCGTCGCGGTGCGGTGCCGCTCCGTCTTGCCGCACGACAAGGCCTCGGGCGACGAAGCCTGCAGCCGGGCCGAGGAGGAAGAGCGCGGGCTTGCCCTCGGGATTAGTTGACACTTCGTAGCAGAGCTGGTGCCTGCTATCTGCGGTGTTGAGCAGACCTGTTTCCAAGGGGGTCAACTCGGGGTAGAGTTAAGTCGGGCGTGTCTTCCTACCGGAGGAATCTCCAAACATAATCCAGAAATAGTCTGGGGACGATTTGTTTCTTTAATTATTTGTGCCTATGTTTGAGTATTGGTTGATTAGTTTTTATTTTTCGCACAATATCCGCCTGTAGGGGGACACGCCGTCCGACCTAAGGGTAGAGCGTGCGCAGGGGTGGCGCCTCACAGACGGTGTGGCGAGGGCCAGAGGCCAGTGGCGGCAGAGGCAGGTTCTGCACGGCGGCGCGAAGGCCGAGGCCCACTGCCTCCACGCAACCGTGCCGCACCCTACAACGCCCGAGCCTGTGGCACCCAAAAGCGCACCTGGAGGCACCCCAAGAGCTGGACCGAGGTCGGCTCGGGGAGGGTGCCCTGGGCGTTCTGCGTGCCCGTGGCACGTTCGTTCTCGTGCCTCCTGGGGAGGGCACGCTTGGATGCTCTGGCTTGGCCGGCCGGCGGAGGGCCTCGGGGTCCCCAGGGGTGCTCTTCTGGCCCGGCTCCGGCCGCAGCCGTGGCCACTGCCGGCCCAGGGCCGGGCCCTCCGTGGGCCCATAGGGAGCCGTGCGCACGCCCTCCCGGCCAATGCGGGAGGGCGTGGCGTGTGCACCGCTGCGGGGTTCGGGAGGGGCCTGGCCAGGGAGCGGTGGACGTGGACGGGCCCTGTCGCCCTCAGGACCAGCGCGTCTGCGTGCAGGCCGTCGGCGATCGCGGCGTGGAGTGCCTCGACCCGGAGCAGCTGCACGCGGAGCTGCGCGCGAAGCACGGCCGCCAGGACTACCTGAAGGAGAAGCACAACCGCGAGCGAGCCTACACGTTCGACGCCGTCTTCGGCCCCGCGGCGACGAACGCGGACGTCTTCCGAAAGCTCGCCAAGCCTCTCATCCCGGAGGTCATCGCCGGCAAGCACGCCACGTGCTTCGCCTACGGCCAGACGGGGTCGGGCAAGACGCACACGATGCTTGGCAGGCAGGGCGAGGCCGGGATGGTGGAGCAGGCCCTCCACGACCTGCTGGAGCAGGCGGTGCGGGCCAGCGCGCGCGTCGCCGTCACCTTCGTCGAGGTCTACAACGAGCAGATCCGGGACCTGCTGCACCCGAAGTGCCAGGTCCTCGACCTGCGGGACGACCCCCTGCGCGGGCCCTGCCTCGTGGGCGTGCAGGAGGAGGCGGCGTCCACGCCCGAGGCCGTCATGAGCCTCGTCCGCGCGGGCAACGCCCGGCGGACCGAGGAGACCACGGCCGCCAACCCGGTGTCGTCCCGCTCCCACGCCGTGCTGCAGCTGGAGGTGGAGTCGTTCCTGCCCCCGCGCCTCGAGGGCGGGCCGCAGCGGAGGCGCGCGGCCAAGCTCTCGCTCGTGGACCTGGCCGGCTCCGAGCGGGCTGCCAACACGGGCAACAAGGGTGCACGCCTCCGTGAGGGTGCCATGATCAACCGGTCGCTGCTCGCGCTGGCGAACTGCATCACCGCGCTCACGCGGAAGGGGGCCTACGTCAATTACCGCGACTCCAAGCTGACCAGGATGCTGAAGGACTCCCTGTCGGGCAACTGCTACACCGTCATGGCGGCGCACGTGAGCCCGAGCATCGCCGCCTTCGAGGAGACCATCAACACGCTGAAGTACGCCCACCGCGCCTGCGAGATACGCGGGCTGGGCGGCGGCGTGCGCGCGAACGTGTGCGAGGTTGCCGAGAAGTACGCCGACCGCCTGAGCCCGTGCCTGGAGGCCTCCCGCAGGCTGCAGCAGCAGGTCTCAGAGCGTGAATTACCTACCCCGCTTTCGCTTCCAGGCAAAACCAAGTCATACCACGCGCCTCCTCGTCAAGCGGCCTGACCAGTACAGGTCGTAGTCTGGCGTCGCTTGGTATCTCTTGGAAGCGAGGGTGGTCAAAAGCGAGGTAGGTTTATTTGCCCCCAAAGGTCGCCAGGTTCGCGCCCCCGAGCAGGAAGTTCGCGCCCCCGAGCAGGGCGCCGCCCGGCCGCGTCGCCACGGCGGCCGCGGCGGAGGTGCCGGTCTCCTCGGCCGGCGCGGCCTCTCGGGCCGTGGAGTTGGCCGAGGAGCTGGACGCCCGGAATGGGCACGGAAAGAATGGGTACGATGCCCAACAACAGATGTTGTCCCAAACCGACAGCGGCCGCGGTCGGCAGGCGGCCTTCTGTCTCGAATGGACACAGGCCGCGGCGGCGTGGACAGCGAATCCTGTTCAAAATGAACAGGAATTGCTGTTGGGCATTGTACCCGTTCTTTCCGTGCCCATGTCGGGCGTGCAGAGAGGAGCTGGAGATGACGCGGGTGAAGGTCATGAGCAAGCTGCGCAATCACATCCGCATCGAGCAGACCGCGCTCGAGCTCGATCAGCAGAACAAGATGAACGAGATCGAGCTGTCCAAGCTGGAACTGGACGTCGTCCTCGGCAACGGGGATGCAACGAGGGTAGCCAAGGCTGGTCCTCAACTTGAAGGTCAACCCTCAGGCTCTGCGAACGTCAAAGGCCAGCTCAAGCTGCTGAAGATGCACGGCGCACTGCGTGGAGCGATTCGGAAAAATGCTGCTCAGCGCGACCAGTTGGAGAAGCATTCTTTGCATTCCGTCCCCTACTCTGGGGGGGAGGAGGAGGCAAAGCTGATCTCATTGCTGGCAGATGTAAAAGAGGTGCTCGAGGGTGGCAGCAAGCACGCTATCGCCAGCGACGTCGAGAGGCGTCTCCTCCAAGCGCAGCAGGCGATGTCACTCATCGAGATCGAGAAGGTCGAGGCAGAACAGGGCGCCATCGTCATGGAGGCTGCAGCTAGGCAGCACGAACAGGCGCTTCGACAGCAGCAGCTGCAGCTCGACATGCACACCAAGGCTCTCGCAATCGCTGGTACCCTTTTCGCGGCCAAGGGCCTCACCGAAGAGTGGCACGCCGCGCTGGGCCCGCTGGTGCAGCTGCTGCCGGCTCAGCACCGTGCTCAAGGAGCGCCCTCTCTGGACGAGCTCATCGCCGAGATCTCAGAGCCGGTGGGGTCCCCAGAGGCGTCCCCGCGGGGATCGGCGCGGGAGACGCCCGCGGAGGAGGCGTTCGACGCGGTGCAGGGCATAGAGGATGGCTTCGGCGAGATGCGAAAGACGCTTGGGCAATCCCTCAAGCTTCAAAGGCTACACGCCGACGCGTCACCAGAAGATGCTCAGCGTCGACGCCCCTCCGACGAGGAGGACTCCCTGGAGCTGTTGACTCTGCTGCCAGGGGCTGGAGACTCAGACGACGAGGACGGCGACTGAACTCGGATGCGCAACGGGATCGGCTGATCGAGCGCCAGGAGGAACAACAACAAAAAAGGGGGGCCGAAGAGGAAGTCCATGAGGGCTCCTAAGAGGGAACACGCGCATGGGTTTTCGTTTGTGTTTCACGACTCTGGCATGCTCGCCTTTCTTGGTAGAGGACCCCGGTCCCAAGACGCCCCAAGAGGGCCTTTGCCCCGCCCTTCCAGGGATTGTTCTTGGAGGCCTCTTGGGCCGTCTTGGGGCTCTCGACCGTCTTAGGGCCTATTGGGCCGTCTTGGGGCGATATTGGGAGCCTCCTGGGCCGTCCTGCAGCGTCGTAAGCCCGAAAAGGCGAGAACGTCGAATTGTGCAATCACGCTCGGGGAGTCGAGGACGCGTGCCTCTCGGGGCCCTCCTCGGGCAGCCTCACGGAGCTTTTTCTGGGGGAGCGTCCTGGAGCGCATCCCTCGGACCGTCTTGAGCCCATAGTGGGCTGCCTGTGGGCCCTCCTGTGCCGTGTCGGCGCCCTCCTGGGACCGCCATGGGGGCGTTTCTCGGGAGGCCCTCGGCGGCTCTCGGGCTGCCCACCGGGCTCGCCGCCTCGGAGGCCCGCCGCACGCCCCAGGAGCGCGGGGGAACGCCCCGCCATTCCTGCACGCTCGTGGTCCGGACAGCGAGGGCCTGCAACCCCGTCCATTCTCACAGCTGCATGGGCCTTGGGGCGCTCCACTACATGCTAAGGGCGCGGTGGCGGATTCAGACGCGTAGATCTGTGTAACTTTACGATATGTAATATGATTACACAGAACATCTCGCTCGCTCCCTATATATATATATATATATATAACTACTTGCACACATAACATGCATGACTGTATAGACAATCGTACGTGTATACATATACGGATGATATAAACATGTGTATCTGTATATGTATGTATATACATATTTATATATATATATATATGCATTTGTAGGTATGCATACACACAAATATAATACATACATGCACGCGAGGACGTGGAGGATGAGGACCAGGGGGTCGAGAGCGGAGGAGCCCAGAGAGGGTCAGGAGGTTGAGGGGCGGAAGAAGGACGTGCCACGGGGGGGAAGTGAGATGAGACATGTGGGAGCGGGAGGAGGAAGGACACTGGGACGAGGAGGAGGAGGAGGAGGAGGAGGAGGAGCAGGAGGAGGAGGAGGAGGGGGAGCAGGAGGACCAGCGTCAGGCCTGGTCGTGCAACCAAGGGACGGGAGCACGGGAGGAGGAGGAGGAGGAGGAGGAGGA